GTAGATAGAAGTTTGTTCACATGAAACTCCAAGGCTTGAAGTGTCACAGGATATGAAGTAATGAACCTAGTCACCCCCCAAGTTTGGAAAGAGGATACATCTGGAACTGAAGAGTAATTGAATGGTTTGAGTAGAATCACCCTACTTGCTGGTATGCCTAGCAACATGATAGAGGTGAAAGAAAAAGGTAGAAGCAGTGGACATAAAAGACCAAGAAGCAGAGAAAGAAGGCATATGGCAGAAGGAATAACCACTGGCTACTGGATGTTTCAAAAGTGGGGATAATGACCAGATAAAAACATGAAAGAACCAAAATGAGCTCCTGCTGGTGCATTTCTCCTGAAAATGAAACTAATTTGAGGGAAATTCTTTCAAAAACAGAATGAAGCAAGAAGGAAGCCATTTCAAGGTCTGTTGAAATATTTGGAAGAAGGTGAGTACCTCAAATGCAAGAACTACAGGCTAGTGTCAAAGAACATAGAAGAAACATGGTAACACACAATAATTCAGTGAAAGGAACTTCGTGAATGAAAATAGCTGATAGACAATAACTGCATTAAAGATGAAAGTCTCAAAATGAGATAAATCATGAATGTAAGGAAGTAACCTGAAGAGAAGACAAGTGGGATACTTCTCCAAATAATGAACTGGGGATATTAAACTTGTGAAGAAAGATGTGTTCTAAAAGATGACTTTACTAAAGGGACACCTGTATGAAATATGCAAGAAATATGGAAAACTTTAACATTCTTCTGATTTCTGAAGGCATTAGCAAGAAATTACCAGAAAATGGAAGATATAAGGACTCAACAACTGAGTCATTTAAAATAACACTAGCATCCTCAGGTGTAACAGAAATTGGTTCAAGATTTAAAATAGTATATACCTGAAAAAATGAAATAAGACTAGCAAAAGCATCTTCAGCATTAGGACTACCAGACAAATCCTTCACTTCTGTAAAAAATGTCAAACAGGCTGGGTAACAGGTTGAGATTGTTCATCAATGTGGGAAAAAGTTAGATGTCCCACAATTTCAACATCCACATGATGAGGAAACCAACTATGTCTCCAACAAATAATTTTACATTGACAGCCATAATATGTTGATTTACTAAAGTTGACAATGAAGCTGCAGTATCTCCCTGCGTACTAAAAGATGACTTTGTGAACAAGGTCTCCAAAATGTTTAAAGGAGTTACATATATGGGTTACCACTGATTTTAGAGTTCATGAAAGAACAAATGAAGGAACAAAGTTTTCAGCACATAATGCACTGTAATGAAGACATTCCGAACCAAAAGCATGGATGTTGACAAAGAGAGAAAGATTCAAGAAGATAAAGTTTACAGTACTTCATCGGTAAGTCTACCAGATTTGAGCCGAAATTTAGTTGTAATTGACTAATAGCATCTTATCACAATATGTAAACCATATTTTTTCAGATTAAGTACAGCAGATGAGAATCTTGCAATTTTGCAAATAAAGACAAAAATTATTTCACAGACAACACACAAAATGCACATGGCATAATACCAAAACATGCCTACCACTTGTTATAAAGCATATGAAATGACATACCAAAATATATGTTTGCCTTACAGTTTGATACATGAAATGAATATTGCTAAAACACTGTGTTAGACTATTAAACCTTTTACTTGTACAGTCACTATATGTTTGCCTAACACCTATTCATAGTTACGTAAAATCATGTATTCAGTAGTGAAGTAAAAAGTATTTTCCTTATTGAGGCACTAAAATTTATAGCTCTAATATTCTAAGCCTAATTCACTGCTAAGTACTTCTCAAGACTCATTTTCATAATTATCAAAGTATAAATAAAATGTCAGGAATTAAAAGTTTAAAAGCTGGCATATTTTAAGGATTTTTAGGCTAAACATTACAATAGAGTGCAGATACATTTTCTTAGTCTATCAGAGATTTTTAAACTTGTCATTTACCTACTGGAAGTCACTGTTTAGGATTTGTTTGTTTGTTTGTTATGAATTTTGAGCAAAGCTACACGAGGGCTATCTGCACTAGCCGTCCCTAATTTAGCAGTGTAAGACTAGAGGGAAACCAGCTAATCATCACCACTGTTTTGGAAGCATTTAATACCAGAATTCAACAGCTGGGCTAACCTTAGGTATTTTTATTACTATTGGCCTAGCCAAGAAGTTCTTTAACATAAAAAAGGTCTCCAGGACATGTTTACAGCTTTATAAGATATGTTATACAACATTTTATTATGGCTAAAAAATATTTATTCTATCTAGCTTAAGCACTTCAAAAATGAAATATTTTTTTATAGTGTTTATTGGCATACATGTGTTTCTAGGTGTGGAGAGTCTCAGTTAACTGACATGAAAAGACCTCCTAGACAGTGACCTATGACAAAAGATTAGATCCAAAGTGCTTCATACACATTTGCTTTAAAATCAGTAACTGATTGTTAAGAAAACTATAAACAAATTAAATCTCTTATATCATGTATATCCACAATTTTCACAAAACTCAAGATACACATAAATATATTAGTAACTTAGTTTGCTGCCTTAAGGACTTGGAATTCTTGACTCTAAGACAAGCTACCCTGTATTATGACACTATACATCATACAGCAACTTAAAACAAACTAAATTAAAAAATTAATAAATAAGAGCAAATTACATGCAGGACACCACAGTTTAGCAGAGAATAAACTATTCAGGCACATTCTCAATAACAGCTTTGCATGCTAATGAACAAAACTGAGCAAAAGAAAACTAAAGCATCAGAAAATCCAGGATACCAAACTCTTGTACTTGTTTTGAAATAACATTCTGAGCAGTTAATACTATATATCTTATTTCTTTAAGTCAGAGAGTACAACAGATTAAAGAACTATAATTCCATGTTATTTGGATGGATATTAATTTCCCATTATTGTTTCCTGCTTTACTTGAGACATTCAGTTGCTAAACAAATAGCTGGTTGATGTAAACAGGCACATTCCAAAGTACAAATCTAAAAAAAATTAAGTACAGTTCACATTGGTGTAAATTATATAAGCAGAGCATCTGACTGAAAACAGACTTGAAATCTTACAGTAAAATGAATCAGTTTTCAATGATGAAATTTTTTATTAAAGAAAAACAATTTCTTGAAGGAAATGTTTTTTCTCATAATAATTTATATTTGTATACATATTCTGTTAAGTAACATTTACAAGTTAACACAGTTGTTAGCTACAGACCATGCCATGCCCGAACTCAATGTATTGAAAAACTAATTAGGAATAGGTTCTATGTTAGAAAATAAAATAACAAAAACTATATATGACAGCTAAAATATTACAACCACTTCAGATAACTGAAAAAAAACCTGACAAACCACCTTCACTTTATTTAGCATAAAATCCATTTTGATTTCAAAATGCATTAATCTAAAGAAATTATAATATGGTTAGCAAAGTAATATATTACACACACACACACACACACATATATAAATAAATAAAACAGACCTCAAAGGAACAGCCCTCATCAAAGCAAATACATTATGTTAGGCAATAGGAGATGGTTACACTAGAAGTCACTTTATCATAATGCTTTATAGATGGTTGATGACACTTCACCTTCACTGAGAAATGATGTGAAGCTTTGGATAAAAAAGATCTACCAAAAATACTTTATTATAAAAAAACACAAGAAAAAACATTAACTGATTACTAATATTATCAAATGCCATCTAAAAGCACTACACTTTACAAGAACAAAAGTACTAATAAATGTGTGTTAATGATTTGAAGATAAGCATAGATTTCTTGATATTCAATAAAGTATTTACAAAATACTGTGCAAGGAATCTCACCAATTCTACCTACAGGTACAACCAAACAGCCAGTTAATTAATAAAATCTTATTCAGTAACTTGAAAAACACATGTCACTAAGTTTTAATTTATCACTAACTTTTGCAATTTATATATACACTAACCCAACTTAACAGTACACATAACTCGATAGGGGGGAACTTCTAATTTCAGTAAACATAAGAAACATGTTTAGCATGCAGAAAAAAGATGATCAGGACCACAAGGATGCCATTTAGGCTGTTTAACTTATCAGAAAGTGAGAAAGCAGACTTCAGAAAAGTGAAATTAATGGGTTTTATTGTTTTTCTTATGTATACCTCATTTATATTGACATTATGTATAACATCAGAAAGCCATGATATTTTATTTTCTTGTTTAGGCACTTTCCTAATTAGGCACTTTCTTAATTTTTTGGATCATTTGTTACTACTAGGCCTGTATATATGAGGTGCAATAAGGCATCATGTATTAAAACATGATGAAGTTAAAATATAATTGTGCAATTGAAAAAATCCTTGGGAAAAGCTCTGTTTTTCCTATACACACACTGACACAGAACATGCGTGATTACATTATTTCCAAAATTGAAATAAAATACCAAATAAAGTATTCATTTTTCTAACTATACTAACATTTGTTTTATGAAAGAAATCTACACCCACTGCCATAAATGTTAACAAACTACTTTATAAATATTCATTTTTAATAACTTTATATGTTTGTTTCTATTTACTCAATCACATCTTGAAAATCTCTTATGAGCTTTATCTGGCCCAGCTCTCCTTACTAGAGGTAATATATATATAGTTTTTAAAATAGCTAACATTAAGAATAATGTCTCCTTTTAATTTTTATTATCTAGTCATTTGCAGGTGAAGGAGAAACATCTTTCTTAATCAAACTAATCTCTGTGCTTCCAAGGGGTAATAATATTGCACATTTATCTCTTTTCAGAAATTTGGGTGTGAAACAAGAGCCTCATATCCTGGATATTAAAAAAAAAGAAGCAAAAAACTTATGAGTTGTGCAACTATATTTCCATTCACCCAAAATTACAGCCCAGGTTTGTGCACAAACTAAAATACCTGCTATAGCTTTCAGTGAAAGATAAGCAAAGAAGGAAAGATAAAAAGTAGGTAATTTACTTGTCTCCAAAAAGCTGCTCTCTTGCTATTTCCTCATTTGTTCTGGAAAGGAGAGAAGACAATCTCTCAGAACCAATGTAATATTTAACTGCTTCCCCACGTTTTAGTTTAAATCATGAGACTTATATTTTTTCCCTACCATATGAGTCTTTGGAGGTTTTTCTTCTCTACATAGAATCATTGGTAAGGAAAAGATTAATCAATTTAATGACTACGTAATAATTTAGAATTTTTGTTTCACCATAAAGATATAATATGAAGGACAAAACAAAAATACGAAATCCAAATTCTTAAGTTAATGATAAATCATCATTACAGATACTTTTGCTTATTAATCTTTAAGATTTTTAGTATGACAGCCTGGTTGTCCTAACAAAAAATTTTGAAGGAAACTAAGTTAAATATCATTTGTTAGGCATGAATTTAGAAAAGACAATCCAAACTAATTCTAAGGCCTTGATATGGACTTTCTAATGGCATATACAAAATAAAACATATTAGTTAATGTAGCTCAATGTACAAACCTCAGTTAAGTTTTACAGGAGTAGTGACTATGTGTATTTGAATTAAAATAATGTGTGTAAATGTTTTAAACTTTTGAAATCTAACTTTTCACATTTTTATTTTGAAACAGAAAATTCTATACAATTATTTTTACTTAATTTTCAATTAATTCTTTCTTTAACTTTATAAAATAGTGCCCACAAAAACGTGAATAAAATTTTTGTTTTATAGGCTAATTAATAAACATAATACAATTACTAAACCTTGAAGGACTGAAGCCTCTATTATTATTTCTGTGTCTGAATGTAACCACAATTATGCAATATGTTTATATACATATGTTCCACAAATCTAAAAAGCTGTGGTAACAACTGACTTAACCTTAGTAGTACTTCCAAAATTAGATAAAATACTAGAAAAAAGTGGTTTTTATGACATTTTGCTTAAAATGTATTCTAGAAATGGCTGTATTATGTGTGAATAATGCTAATGATTAAATACCTTTCTATATTTAGTTTTAGTGATACAAGCTTTAGGCAATAGGCATGCAATCTAAACCAAAATCATAACAAAAGGGAGTTTTCAGCAAATGAACCAACCAACTAGATTTACAAATTTGATTATACTTACTTTCTATTAAAGGACTTTCCACCTTTACCTAAATCTCCATAGCAACCAACTTCATGAACTTTATCTAAAAGCACCTTTTCCAGTGTTTCTGCATCTCTAAAGATTTGAGAACCCTCTTCATTGTAATGGCGACAGTTGTTGAACATTAATTTAAAATCTGCAACCAGAGCTTCTTCAGAATTGTACTAGAAACAGAGAAAAAAAAAAGACAGAATATAAATTGTCACTTATTAAATGGAATAACTTTTTTTTTTAACAGTTCTACAAAAATGGACTGATTGTTATATTTTTGTACCATATTACTCTCCTTAAATGACAAACACCTACAGAAACACAATTTGTTGTAAATATTTTGTGTAGTCTTAACAAAATATAAATGTATGACAACATGATTCATAAGACAAAAAACAGAGCAATGTGACAGTTTTCCCCATGATCACATAATCAATTACAAAATATAAGCACAAAAATAAGATGAAATTCAAACACGATACTTATTTACCAATCTGTCAACTGAAAAATGGGGATACAAGATTACTATGAAATAAACCTGTATTAGAAAACCAACTCATATTCAGACTTACCCGATCATTCTTAATGTTTGATTCAATTGTTTTCATGTCAACTGGATTTGAAATAATCTTGTAATAATCTGGATAGTCCTTCTTGGAAGGTTTCTCCATAAACATGGTTATCAATGGCCGCCCAAAATCGTCCTGTAACCACAAAAGATTCATCATTAATGATCTTTTTATCTCTTCTTAAACAATCCTTTTAGTCAAAATTTCATGACAGTTTTGACAGTCATTAAACCTCTTGTTTCTTAATTTTTTCCATACTTACAGTATAGATTAAGCAGTTATTTATATATATACTAATGAATAATCTGTCTGATATAAAGAAATATATATGTTGTTGATTTATGCTTATATGATACAGTTGATAACATGCAAGATCAATGATTTTTCTGTTATCACACACAATAAAAGATATTCAGAGAATTAGACATCTGAAACATAATTAAAAATTTTAACATGGAGCTAAAAGTTAAAAAAAAGAGGACTTTTTGGTAGAAAAAAAAAAGACAACACAAACTCATCAACTGTCTAAAGTTTACATTTTTTCCTTACATGAAAATGTATTTTATATATATACTTATCTCTTTGCATGACTAAGAGCTATCACCTCTCATGCAAGTGCTGATGAATTTCCCATTCATGCCACAAGCCTATGCAAATTATGCTAGCCTATGATGTAACCATCATAATGCTATTGCCCTCTACCAATAGTAGAGTGACAAAACCTCCATGTGCAGTAATTCCTGTGAGCACTAGCACATGATCATAAGCTCATTCTTGATGAAGCAAATGAAATTCAACAAAAGTGAGAAGGAAGAGTGGGTGGTGCATAGAAATAAATATCTATCTGAAATACAATTTCAGGTAAGGATAATGTGAACTTCAGAAATGTTACTTACCTCTCTGCATCACTAATAGCTAGAATTTCACACTGATGAACTACTAAGATGATCTCCTTTCTGAAATAGTGACAGAAAGGGGAAAGCCCATGAAGTGTGACTTCCACGAGATTGGGAGTATCCTAGTGGAGCAGCACCAGGGAGGAGACTGCATCCTTTTCAAGCGGGGAATACTTTTCACCCAAAAGTTTTTTTCGTACTTTGAATAGAGTAAAGAATATCAGGAAAATCCAGTGTTGGTGGGCAATTTTTCAAAAAAACCCATTTCAAAGGTGAGCACTGAACAAGGACAGATAAGCTTAACATTTTTTATACTCCCTTGCCCAATGTGGATACCAGGTAATTATTTCCTATGAGCCAACAACAGCCAATCAGCAGGATCCAATTATATTAAATATAATTAATATAGTGTTTAGTTCCACAGGTTAGGTGGGCATAAGGTTTTCATTTTCATCCGACATTATGATGTGTCTTGCATTCTAGACTGTTTGTTTTCTTGGATCATACAAAAAGATTGGTACTTGGTACACACACAGGGTAGTGCAATGAAATGTGTTGGGGACATGAAGATCATACATGATCAGTGATGGACCTGGAAGTTAAAAAATAATAGATATAACTCACCACACCAGGGAGACTGGAGAATGGTGTTCTAAGGGAAGCAAAAACCAGAGGCCAGTGAAACTGCTCAGTGATGTAATTAACCCTATAATTAATGGTCCTACAATTTGTCACTATTGTTATATTTCATTCGAAAAATAGAATTAGTGGGTACAAGTTTTTGAAATTTGACAAGAACCTTCCTAAAAGGATGTAGTTTCAGAAAAAAAAAAAAAAAGGATTTAATTTTGATTTTCCTACTACTTCTAGAAAAATTTG